AAAACGCTACAGAATATTTACTACTGAATATTAATAAGATATTTTTTTACTAAAATTTTTCTTAAATTCTACTCTACAAAATAGCTATCTTAGATTTTTTTTTTACATTTTATTTAAAATTTAAAAATAATTAATATTTTTAATAAAATGTAAAAAAATTAATTATTGAGATATAGCTATAGACCTAACGTCTAACTAATATTTAAAAAAAAAATCAGCTAAAAATATTAACTGGATCAAAAGTTATTTAAGTTGTCAGTGAGTGGTGGGCCACCCTGTATACGAGGGGGTTCAAATCTAAAAAATGCATGTAGAAAGTAGAACTTTTTCAACTTAAATTTTGAAAGTGTTCCGGAAAGACAGTGATTTTAATCACTGTCAGATATCATTATACTTGATCCATCTATGCTACGTCACCACTGTGCCGCGACCCCCCTGTGATGGGTTTTTTTAACTTTATAATGCTATAACTTTTTGAAAGATGTATGGATCAATATAATTCTATTTTTTATAGATGCATGATGTCTTTACCTATAATTTGGTATATTTTTTTTATAAATCTGACTTTTTACCTGCTTACAGGGGGGGATTTAAAATAACAACTTTTTCACAAAAAATTTACTTTTTCTACTTAAATCTTGAAAGTGTTTCGGAAAGTCTGACACTTTTATATATATCTTAAATTAAAGCTAATGTAATTTATTTTAATTTGAAAAAAAAAAATTTGACCTCTGGACTTGTCTTCACGGCGAAAATGGCTACCGAATGCTATTCATACGTTAAATCTTCCAATCTTGAGGACTATTAGTAATTTTTCCTTTGTTGACTGGCCTAGATGTCAATTTTAAACTTGTAATTGAGCTAAAAGTTATGGTAATATATTCAATTTATTTTACTATAAACTTTCACAAATCTTTATCAAAAATTTTTCATCAACTTTAAAGAACCAAAAAAAATAGGTTAAAAGGAAAATTTGGACTGATAATTTTTAACATATTAAAAATCAAATCAGTAATAATTTGTAAACAAATTTTTTTTTCTTTTAAAATATTTTTTTGCATTTTTATGGTAATAGATAACTTAAATAGTAGTAATAGTAATAATTTCCTAGTAACTTTTGTTGTTTGAAAAGATTCTACAATTGAAATATCCAGCACTGAATTAATTTTAATGATTTATTTTAACTAAATGAACCAATCAAAACAAAGTTGTTAAAAAGATTTACTCAATTGAGTGTATTATAAAATTTGATTATATTTGTAAAAATCAATTGTTAATTCAGGAGAAAAAACAATCATTTTTATAATAATATTGATCTATACATTTCTCCAAAAGTTATAGCAATATAAATTTAATAATATAACATATAAAATCGAGAATTTTTTTACAGAAATCGTACGTTCTTCTTTAACTTTGATGTCCGTTTTCACCACGAAAACATGTACAGAGGTCAATTTTTTTTTTTCAAATTAAAGTACATTACATGAGCTTTAATTTAAGATATATATAAAAGTGTCAGACCTTTCGGAACATTTTCAAAAGTTAAGTTGAAAAAGTTAATTTTTTGTGAAAAAGTTGTCATTTTAAATCCCCCCCTGTGGGCAGAAAAAAGGTCAGATTTATAAAAAAAATATACCAAATGATAGGTAAAGACATCAAGCATCTATATAAAAAAAAATTATATTGATATGTTCATTTTTGAAAAAGTTACGGCAGTTTTTAGTAAAAAAAATTGAAAAAATTTCGAAAATTAGCGATTTTTAAATTTGTAATTTTTTTGGAGGTTTCCCCCATTTACGGGGAACGAGGGAAATTTTTTCAATTTTGAAGGGTAATGTCTTCGACTAGATACGATTTGTGATCTTTTGACGTATCGTTGAAAGAAATCCGTTCGGTGAGAGCTGAGAAAAAGTGGTAACAGACACAAAAAAAAAAAAAAAAAAGAACACACATCATAGTAAAACCAATACCTTCTCAGCTTCGCATCGAAGCTAAAAATTGAAGAAATGTCGAAAATTAGCGATTTTTAGATTTGTAATTTTTTGGGGCATTTCCCCCGTTTACGAAAAACGAGGGAATTTTTTTCAATTTTTGAGGGTAATGTTTTCGACTAGATATGATTTGTGATCTTTTGACATATTGTTCATCAAAATCGGTCTAGCGAGAGCTGAGATTGAGCGTTCACAGACACAAAAAAAAAAAAATCATAGTAAAATTAATACCTTCTCAGCTTCGCATCGAAGCTAAAAACTACATAAACTAAATCAAAAATTCAAAGTCGCTTTTCTTAACTTTAAGGTTTAAAAATAATTAAAATAAGTTAAAATTTATTTTTAATGTAATCTAGATTCATTTAACTTTTATAAAATTTAATTTGACATATGTGTGAACAAGTTAAATGTCAGATTTTCAAAAATATTATATTAAATAAAAGGGAATTACTTAAGGTTTTAATATAAAAAATGATTATAATTCTCTTTAAAGTATTTTATCCATATGAAATAGATTTTCTTGGATTGGACTTAATTTTTGTTGCCGCCTGGGCTGTTCTAAAAAATCCAAAATAAAAATGGGGAATAGAACTCTGCCGTACGGCATAAAATAGGGGCAACTAATATTCAACAAATAAAGTTTCTAATCAATTTAAAATTGCTAAAAGAAAAATATTTTTTGTCAACACAAAATAAGCTTACCCAGACCAATGAATACAACTTAATAATTAAATACGAACAATTGTACCTACCATTATCCAACCGAATAATACATAAATATAATACTCCATACTACTTATATGCAACTATGCTCTACAAGAATAAAATTAATTACAATTTACAACAGTAATACAATATCTGTAGTTTCACTGCAACAATGCACCAGCCAATGTAAAAAAAAAGAAAAATGAAAATAGCTATATGTTTTCAAAATAATAATATGAATAATGTATTTAAAAAACAAAACTTGAACAATGTTTTACTAATGCATACAAAAACAACACTTAATTAAAATGAAAAACCTACATAACTTAACCTAAACTGTAGAATACAACAAGTACACATATTTCTTTTTTTTTTTAATAAAACGACTAAACAATACAGGCCGCTGATAAGGCGTTCTAACAGCTAATGGTGCACAAGCACTAACAGCTGACCACACCCAACCAGAGCAGCTCTCACGGTTGGCGCGAACAATTTTTTTACTATAAACAAATAATGTCTTTTAGTTACATTCAAATAATATTAATATATTAATTCAATTAGTCCCGAATTAATTTTTTTATGAAAATTCATGGAACAGAATATTCATACATATAAAATTTAGTAAAATAAATTACAAACATTCTTACAGTGTAATATTTAAAAGTATTGAATACATAAAATTAAAAAATACATATGTATAGAAATTAAACATTTAATAATGATATAGTCTATCTGAATAAACTAATTTTATAGTTTAAAATTACATTTCTATTTCTATATCTATTAAGGTAAATGCTATAAAAACACATAACTATTTATTTATTTTATTACTTATTTTATTGTCAAATGTTCTTTCTATGTTTCAGGATAAAAATGAATCTAAAATTTTTTTATATTATTTCAATTTTATGGAACTTAAAATATATTTTAACGTCCACTTCTGGTAATTATGATGTAATATTATATTTAATTGACTCAGTAAATCACATTATGTATCATAGTCAATTTCAAGAGAAATTTAATTTATGGGATAATATAATCAAAATAGACGATTCTGAAAAATTATTAAACAAACCATTGAATCAAAATAATAATGAAATTAATCTTATACCTCAAATATTTAACTCTATAATAAGTTCAATAAATATCAGATATGCGAAATTATTGAAATTATATGACGGCCATATAAAGACGATGATAAATGAATGTGAAAATTATTATAATAAAAAATCATTTCACAAATTTGTTGAATGCACTAAATTAATTCAAGAAGTTATTGTAAATTCAGAATCTATGTTTCAAACTTTAAATGATATTTTGTTATTTATCATAAATTTGAACCTAAAATCTATATTCCCTGAATACGAAGCTCCAAATACAGTAATTAACGAGATTAAATATTTTATTACATTCATTCTATCAAAAGAAAAACGATGTGAGATTACTTACATTAAATCAAATAGAGAATTTGATACAGATGAAGCTTGCGGGGATCTTTTAAATGTCAAACATTTCCATACTGAAGTAAATCATATGCTTCAAAATTTTCTATTTTCAGATAAATCCAGCAATATAACTAGTAATTTTGTTCGTAAATGTTTGTTAGAAAAGTACAACGAAAAATACTTTTTACCGCAAGAAAATGATAAAAGTTTTGTTCAATTTATTTATGATAATCTCATTATATTTTATAAGGAAACTATTGAAAATGAGAATAATAATCTCGGATATCAAGAATTATTACATCCAACTGTACCTGGGTAAAGTTAATATTTATTAAATTTATTAGATATTAAGATTATTATGATTGTATTAGCTATAAGCTTACAATAATGATTATTTAAAAAATTCCGACAATTATAATGATGTATTAATGTGCATTTAACATAAGTAATATAATGCAAAGTTAAAAAAGATTATTTATTTTTAAAACTTAATTGCACAGTTGGTGGCAGATCCACATAATTCCAATTCCACAATATTATATCGATTTTACATTGCATTTACAATAAAACGATATTTTGAAAAAAATACAAGTCCAAAAAAAACTATAACGTTACATGTCGCGTGGGGGTAAATATAACCAATTTAAATTTTGATGAATATTTTAAGTCATACATTTTTTTTCGAAAGTATTTATTTATGAAAATCGATTCAATATTACTATAAAAACCATCTTCTAAATTTATATCTATGTACACCTTTTATTATTGCAATATAATACATGCAATATAATAACTTTTAAATAATCATCTTGTACAATTTGAGCGAGTAATATATTAAATATGCTCTTGTTTCATGCGCTTAATTTTTAATTTGTTAAGTCTTTATTCAATCATACATTAAAACTTCTGCTTCGATAATGATTTTTAATAATAATAATTTTTTCAAATATATTTATTTTACGTCATGTATTTATTTCAGAGCATTGTGTGTATTAGTATAGTGCTTGTAACGTTGATAATGGTAAAATTGTTCCCAAAATACGTTATCTTATATGTATAAATATTTGCCGTAGTTAAATAATGTTATTTATGTTTACATACATATGATATGTGCATATAAGGCCGACGCCTCCATATACTTATTTAGCTCCTCATTTACCTCTTATCACATTATAGTTACAGGATATTTTATTATATTATATACACATTATATATACATTATTTTCCTCGATAATTTTCGAGAACAGTGCCTCCTGTCTCTTCTATGACTTATAAGTTTTTGGGTTTGGCGAGAGAATAAATACTCTAATTTCCAAAGAATTTCAGTATATTTCTTTTGTTTGTCAGCTGTTGTGTTATAGTTATACTTAAGCATAAATTTGTTTTACAATTATAATTCACAATAAGTGTTAAATATATTTCGAAAACAACCAATAGTTGAAAAAAAGTAAGTTTTTAAAAATTTTAATTTTAATTGTACTGGACAATAACAATAACTTATACAGTTATTGGTATGATAACTTTTGATAATGCTAATAATGTTTAATTTTAATTTTGATGATATTTCGAAATATTCTATTTAAACACCGGTAGCTAAAGTAAAACTAGATGACGAACCCTATTTCCAGGTTTATTTACTGTCTTGGTTTCAATATACTCAAAAATATTTGGCAAAAGGGTTCGATGAAGATCTGAAGCTTATTTCTGATGGACAAAAATCTAAATCTTCGAGTTACAGTATAAAGTTTATGTAAATAAATATTGTATACTTGAAAATGATAATAGAAATATTGATTTATATAAAAAAAACACATTGTTGAATATTCAATAAAAGTGTAACTATGTTTAAACATGTAATATTAAATCTGTGAGGTCGAGCAGGATATTAAAATTTAATAATCGAACGTTCAATATTTTTAAATTGTTAATTTTACTTTTAATTTTTAACAATATTTAATATCAAAACAATAATCAAAAATGTTTGATATATATTACTATTTATACCTATATATTCATTTTGACATTAAAAATAACTTTAAAATACTAGGAGCGCGTCTTTGATATGGCGGTGGAACGTACACGGGTATATAATAATAATAGCCAGCCGGCTATTATTAGATACCAAAAAAAAATTTAACTCGTCAACAAAATCTATATTTGTTAAATAATGAAAGAAATTTTAATGACTAATGGTACACAGTCAAAAAGAAAAAATAAAATTTAATGAAGCTTATTTTTAAAACGCGGTAAGTTTAATATTTGAAGTATGATATAAAGTCTACGTAACGAATATTATATACTTTAAAAACAATAGTGAAAATAGTGATTTTTAGAAAATATAGTTCACGTTGTTGAGAATTTAACAAAATTACAGTTATATTTGAACATGCCAATCTATACTTATTAAATAATGAATGAGTTTCTGATGAATTAATCGAACGATGGGTGGAAAACAATAAAAACTTTCGAATGGAATTCGAAACCAAGATTCCTATAACAAACGATACATCAACATATTGACTTATATTACATGATAATATTTTCGAGTAAAACGCAATGTCTAGAGCAGTGCACAAGATGGTTTAATCTATGAAACTTAAAATCAACACTTTTACAATAATAATTATTATTGTTAAAGTAAAAATTATAATTTTTATTTTATTATTTGTAAACATTTACAATTGTATAACATTATATTATTTTTACATTTATTTAAATAATAATAAGTTTTTGTTTTTATTAGCTTTTATTATGAAAATATCATAGCTCGACAATTACATACGAATTAGATAACATAGTATTAATTAGCGTTATGAATTGGTGTTAATTTGTATAACAAAAGTAAAGTATGTACAATAAATCATAATATATAATAAAGTAGTTAAATAGTACAACCAGTGCTCAATATAAAAGAAATGATGGCAATAATAACGGGAATAAAATGGGAATTTAGTACAACAGAGGGTACAAAATTGTAATTTCTATTGGATTTTAAAAATGTTAAAAGTAGGCACCTATTAGACGCCAAGGAGGAGCAATTTAATAAATAGCGAGGAAAATCTCCGAGGATTTCATTCTTATATGAATGGCAAAAGGGAACCGAGTTCAGATTTAATTTGTAGGCGAATGTTGGTAAAAGGTTATGACCCAGTCTGAGTCGTGAAATGCTATAAAATATATTGTGAGTGAGATCTAGTTAATGGAACTACGGAATTTTGGAACGGGTAGGTACGATGTGCCTATGCCATCGGTCAAAGATGTTAGGGAGAAAAGACCACTTGGTGAGCTATGCTTCCATTAGCTTAGATCTAAAATAATTAAGAAAATCAAAATAAGGAAGAAGAAAGGAAGGATAACATAAGAATGATGATTCACATTTAGCCAATGAATCAGCGAACTCGTTACCACGGATCCCGACATATCTAGGGATTCAATGGAATTGAACTTAACCAGACGTTAAAATTTTGTGGAGGAGTGCTCTAATTGAAAGGATCATAGGAAAAGTTTGAGAATCAAAAGGGTTATAATTAATAGCCAGATGACAAGCCTGCGAATCTGAGAAGATGAGAAAAGAAGTATCTAAAGAAACAAAAACCTAGAGAAGTTCATTGACAATAGCAATGCATTCGGGACTAAAGGAGGAAGAAAAAGAATGCAGGTTGGTAGAAAAGGAGATATTAAGGAATAATGAGGGAGACCCATCAGTAAAAAATAGACGACAGTTGGGAAAGTTTGAAGAAATATAGTGAGAGAATAAATTATTAATAATGGTCAAAAGAAGGGATTGGAGGTTAGAATGTGAGAACCCTAGGAAATTAGTTAGTACATGAAGATTAGGAGTGATGATTATGGCTTTGTAAGGGCAGTCACAAATAGGAAGACGACTATAGGACTTCTGTGTATGATTAGTGAGAGGAAAAAATGAAGAACATATAGAAACAAGGATAAGGAAGAGATTTGGGGACATAACGCCAGAGTTGGCGAACAGTTTTATAAAGATTGAATAATGAGAATTTGGGGCAGGAAATAGATTTTAGGAGTAATTTGCACGCTTATCGAAGTCTTCTAATTTCGATAGGAGGACAACAGCATTCAATTTCAAGGCTGGGAACAGAAATAGAAGGAGGAGCGCCTAAATTGAGCGAAAGCAAGAAGCCATTACTGAATTAAGCTTATTACGGTGACATAAGGATGCAGAAGAGAAGAGAAAGGAAACGTAGTCAATCTTGGCACGAATAATAGAGTTAAAAATTAATAAAAGGGAAGAGGAATGAAATTCCCAAGATGTCCCGATAATACAACGGAGAAAATTAGACCAGTGTGATGCAAAGGAAAAAAGGAACCTTTCTTAACTTAGTGTCGTTAAGTCCTAAGTCTACTTAAGTTAAGTCCTAAGTAAGTAACAGATTGGAGGGGATATTAAATGATCAACTAAAGTACAATGGCGATAGAGAGAGGTATATGTTTTCTAGTAAAAATGATAAATTGACTCTTTTAAGAAGCTTTGGTAAAGTAAGAAGAGAGGAGATTTTGGTACAGTATGTACAAGGTGTCGTTGAGATTAGCTACAGCGTGATTAAGTGATTTATCAGAAGAAAAATGGACAATATCATCAGCATAAAAGAGGAAGGAGAAACCGTGAGAGAAGAGGTCATTACTGATAGTACACACATATATATATATTGAAAAGAATGGGATTAAGATAACTGCCTTGTGGAAAGCCACGAAAAGAAGAACGAGAAATAGAAACCCCGGAAGGGATGGAGAAGTGTAGGAAGCGATGAGAAAAAAGTGAGGAAATAAAATTACAAAGAAGAGGGGGTTCAATGACGTTTAAGTGTTTTTATTAAGTAGGTATATGGACTGAGTCAAATGTGCCCTTGATATCCATAAATATTGCTGGAAGTAATTATTTTTTGTCAAAGGACTCATATATGGGTCCTATAAAGGAAAATAGACACTCCATAGTACCAAAGCCTCTTTTAAAACCGAATAAGTTATTCGGGATGAGAGTATTTTTTTCCAGATACCAATCTAAACGAATTTTTAATAAGTATTCTACTATTTTACAGAGAGACGAGGAGAGGGCAATAGGTCGATGGAATAGGATCTGTACTGATGGAAAGAAACAGAGCGTTCTTTAACAGCGGTTGTACATGTAGAGTTCCACCAAATAGGGGAAAGAGGCAAATTTTTTTTGGAAGTTTTGAAAATTGGTACAGAGGCATTCACGGCATTCAGTAGAATAGAAACAAAGAAATCATAATCTGATAAGGGAGAAGAAGAAAGACAAAAGTTGAACAAATAAGCATTGATGTATGCAAAATATAAGCCTCAGTCAGCATTGATAAAGTTGAATTTAAATGATGAAATGACGGGAGAAGGGTCAATTAAGTGATTAGATAGGGATGTTACCTAGGAGATAATAATAGGAAAGTGGTTGCTACTGTAAGTACAGTCAATGACGGCCTTAGATAAAAACCAGGATATAGAAGGAGACGTGATCGATATTCAACGGCTGTGTCTTTAAATAAGCGATTTGTGTCCTGTTATTACTGTTAATTTCTTTTGGAAAAGATAAGGTCGAAATTATTTTACTGCCCATACTATGGCTAAGAGTTATTTCTCTGTTGTGCTGTAGTTCTTTTCTGCCTTGTTCAATATGCGAGAAATATATGATATCAGTAAGTCAGACCCAATCTTCATTTGCGATAGTATAGCTTCAATGGCTGAGTTGCAAGCGTCTGTTACATTAAACGGATGTGAAAAATCCGGATATTGCGGTATGGGTTTTTGATATAATAATTTATTTATTTGATTAAATGCTTTTGTACAAAGATCACTCCAAATAAAGTCACTATCCTTTTTCAAAAAATTTTTTTTGCTATTCTTTTTTTTTTTAATAGTTAATATACTTGAAGTATTAAATAATAACTTAATTAATTATAATTACACTAAAAAAAATTGCAAAAAATTATCAAAAAAATTTCAAAATAGCCATTTTTAGAATAGGTTTTAAAAAATAATTTAGTGAAAAAAATGCTCATTAATGTTTTGTAGTTAATTTTCTGTAATATTTTAAATTTTGTAAAAATTTTAAATTTCTGTATTTATTCTACGGCATTATACGCTGGCTATGATATATTAAAAAAGACAGAAGTAAACACCATCTTTTCACACTAAATATATAATATGAAAATTATTAACATTTCAATGACTTCAAATAAAAACACGAAAAATACCTATTATTTTATAAGTAGTTTTATCTCGTATCTTACTTATCTTCTCTACTTGTCTCAACGCATATTTCAATGTTTAATACCGTAAAATAACACATAAAAATTCAATTTCACAAACTTTAAAATGATATATACTTATAACTACCGTATTTTAATAAGATATTGTTTTATCAATATTTTCCTTAAAATCTACTCTAAAAATAGATATCATAGATTTTTTTTTTTAATTTTATTTAAAATTTAAAAATAATTATTTATAAAACGTAAAAATTTAAATTATTGAGATATAATTATAACCCTAACGTATAACTGTTATTTAAAAAATAATCACTAAAAAATATTAACTAGTTCAAAAGTTATTTAAGTTATCAGTGAATGCTGGGCTACAAATGATACAAATGTTGTTTATGTTTATGGTATTTTATTTTTATTAATTGTTAATTTCATCAACATTTTAAGGCTCAAATTTTACATAATACATAGAACTAATTTATTCGTTAAAATTTTATACACACAAAATCTCCATATTTTCTTTGTCTAATATTTCTAATTTAAGAGATTATTTTTTAGAGGTATAAAAAAACAAAATAAAATTTTATAAAATACTAAACCAAATCATTAAAATATTTTTATTCTTATAGTCTTGTGCCGCCACTTTATGCTGATACTTCCGAACATAAAATTGCTACACTAAACAAATTATTTGCAAAAAAATATTTTAAGCCCTTTCAAAATATTATGATTTTTGAAGAAAACCATAAAAGAATAGATGCACATGAATTGTTTCAGACAAAAGTGAACTCCACAAACTTAAGTAAAATAGAAAAGTATTTTAATCAATTACTGAGATGCAGGTATACTGAAATACTCAAAAACTATGAAGTTATCTTGTTATCCCTAATCAGCTCATGTAGAAATGAAGCATCAAAGGGTACTATTAATAAGCCTGAAGAATGCATAAATAAAATGCGCGATTCAGTATCGTTGTCTATTGATATGCTAAAATCTTTATTATCTGCTATGGCTACACTAAAAAAATTATCTATTTGGAAGTATCCCAAACAAGGCAATAATCATCTGGCGAAATTAGCCAGTATAATAACGAGATTTGTTTATGATATAAAAGCTCTGAATAATGGTTCGTATAAATATACAAAAACGATGAATGAAGTAGAAGCAAAGGCGTATCTTGATCAAATATACATGTCCCGTTGCGATCTATATAATGGATTACGTAATGAATTGTTTCATAACACAAAAAAACATTGCATATTTTTAAAGAACATTAGACATGCAAGTAAATTAAAAAGTTTTTTTTATAAAAAGAAGCATGATGGTCCAGTTTATGAAATTATTTGCAAATATATGAAATCATTTTGTGATAAAATTATCAAAATTGATAACGAATATTTAAATTTTAAGGAATTAACATAATTTTTTATATATACCAATTTCTATTTGTTGTAATTTCTTTCATAATTTTTAACGTGTATTTCTGTGTTAATATATGTTATGGTTGGGGGAACGGGTACAATTGTAAGACGGTCAATATTTACCTTTATGACATGTATAAAAACACAATAATTACTTTATTATTATTATTGTTATACTGTGTGTAAAATTATATTTTCTTAAAAATCTCTGATATCATGTGTATTTTACAAGATAACAAAAGTAATTTTGACTTCGAAAAGTAAATAAAAAAACCCAGCACAGGGGGGTCGCGGCACAGTGGTGACGTGGCATAGATGGATCAAGTATAATGATATCTGACAGTGATTAAAATCACTATAAAAAAAAAACGATTCGATGCAAATGTTTAGAGAGCGTTTAATTTAAAAAAATTGGTGTATTATTCCAAAAGCTACATGATCTGCTAGTTCATTATTAATATCCTAATTAAGATAAAGTATGTTGAATGAAAAACAGATTATTAAAAAATATTATTTCTCATAAAAAAATAATGTTGATCCATACACTTTTCAATATGTCATAGCATTATAAAGTTAAAAATGTAAAAAATAAAATCGAGAATTTTCACACAATAATAGCATTCGGTANTAATCGAGAATTTTCACACAACAATAGCATTCGGTAACTATTTTCACCGTGAAAACAAAATTCAGATGTAAATTTTTTTTTTCATAACAAAGTACATTACATTAGCTTTAATTTAAGATATATATAAAAGTGTCAGACCTTCCGGAACATTTTCAAAAATCAAGTTGAAAAAATTAATTTTTTGTGAAAAAGTTGTCATTTTAAATCCCCCCTGTGGGCAGGTTAAGAGTTAAATTTATAAAACAAATATACTAAATGATAAGTAAAGACATCAAGCATCTATAAAAAAAAAATTATATTGATTTGGTTATTTTTAAAAAAGTTATAGCAATTTTAAGTAAAAAAATTGAAAAATTTTTGAAAATTAGCGATTTTTAAATTTGTAATTTTTTTGGAGGTTTCCCCCATTTACGGGGAACGAGGGGATTATTTTCGAGGGTAATGTCTTCGACTAGATACGATTTGTGATCTTTTGACGTATCATTGAAAGAAATCGGTTCGGTGAGAGCTGAGAAAAAGTGGTAACAGGCACAAAAAAAAAACACATCTTAGTAAAATCAATACCTTCTCAGCTTTGCATCGAAGCTAAAAACATAAGTTTACTTTTATTACATAGCAGTTTTTTATTATTTATTTTATTTATTTATTTATAAATAAAATATTTTATACGTTTCAATTTTGTCTGTTAAGAATGTTCTATGTATTAAGTATATTCTTTAATGCTTGATATAATTGGATCTAATTGATAGAGATAAATGTAACAGTTATTTGGAGGACATTTATATCATTAAATTATTATAGAAATTTGATTAATATACCTAATTGTTGTGTAATAGTTATCACGTGAACAAGAGAAAAAACATCTAACTGATGCAAAGACAATGAACTGATGAATAGAACTGCAGTTATTTGCCATGTTAGTTAACTGGTATATAAAAAATGGAAAGTTTAGTGATTCTCTACCAAAATATGGTTACAAATCACACACAAGAGAATATTTAATGTGGAACAAGAAGCAATTTTGGCTGATTATTTTAAAAAAATGTCTAATATATATATTGGGCTGAGTACCAAACATGTTAGAAAATTTTCATTTAAATTTTCTAAAAAATTTAATTTAAAAATCCCACCTTATTGGACTCATTTTGTAAGTAATTGGTAGAACAAATGGGGATAAAAAAAGGAAAATAGGAACGAGAATTTCTCTGAGGAACTTTAAAATTTATTAAATTCAGAAGATATGGTGAATCAATATTTCCATTCGGCAATTCATTTAGAAATTTAAGGCCTGCAGCAACTCTACGATCAGTCAGTGACGATAAATAAAATTTATCTTGAAATTGACAATGATATTGAATGTGATTTATTCAACTAAATACAACTTTACATCCCATTCATCAAAAGAAGACGTTAAAACATATTTTAAGTTCCATAAAATTGAAATACGATAATAAAATTTAAGATTAATTTTTAACTTAAAACTTTGAAACATTAATTGATATATAATTAGTATAATATAAATTATGTGTTTTTATAGCATTTACATTAATCGATATAGAAATAGAAATGTAGTTTTAAACTATAAAATTAGTTTGCTTCAGTGGACAACATTATTATTTAATTGTTAATTCTTACTCAATGTTATTTTTATGTTTTACGTCTTCCATATTTTTAAATTTTATGTACAAATATTATTATATGTTCCATTTTTAACAAACAGTGATCCCCCACAAGTTAAAAAATATATTTTCTATGCGCTGTCTAAACTTTCAATAAGAAAAATGAAAAATGAATTAAAAATAATTTGTTACTAAAATAATTAATACATTAATATTATTTCAGTGCTCATCATCCATAATTTATTTATAATTATAACTTCAAATAGCAACGTGTAAAGAACAGTTAGAATGCAGAAAAGTATATCTGACAGGATTGAAACACTGCCATAAAACCAATAACGCATTACTGTCGTTAAAGTGTATGGGAATGCACTTCTTAGCCAGGCTCCCAAAAAAGTATTCTCAAATAATAGAAAATATTATCATACTATAAATTTCTTAATGGTGTATCCGTTCTGAAATAAAATGTATAACCTATGTTCTGTTTTCATATTATATTTTCAATCATGATATAGTTGCAGTAATGAGTGGAACTATATCAAAAGTACAAATAATTATTTTTGGTTTATATATTTAAATATGAGCTACGCCCATATTTAGAATCCCCATCGAGGAAGTCTGCTCTAAGTATAGAGCGCAAAGTATGCAAAATATTGTACAATATTGACTAAACAATAAGGAAAATTTAATAAAATTTTTGTCACGATAGGT